TTTAAGAGTATTTCTGTCTCTGTGGTATATTGTAACTGTACATCTGTCTCTGTGGTATATTGTAACTGTATTTCTGTCTCTGTGGTATATTGTAACTGTACATCTGTCTCTGTGGTATATTGTAACTGTATTTCTGTCTCTGTGGTATATTGTAACTGTATATCTGTCTCTGTGGTATATTGTAACTGTATATCTGTCTCTGTGGTATATTATAACTGTATATCTGTCTCTGTGGTATATTGTAACTGTATATCTGTCTCTGTGGTATATTGTAACTGTATTTCTGTCCGTTTTATTATATTGTAAACGTATGTTTTTCTATTTAGTATATTGTTCCCGTATTTTCGTCTGTTTGATATATTGAAAATGTATTTTTGTCTGTTTGGTATATAATTTCCGTATTTTTGTGTATTTGGTATATTAATAATGTATACCTGTGTGTTTAGTATATCATAACTGTATATATGTCTGTTTGGATTTCTGTTTTGGAATGTTTGAGTTTCCTCGCAAAATGCCACAGAAAGCAGGGATAAAGCGATGATTTCAAATGTTACTTGAAAACATAGAAAAAAAGCGTGTTTTGATTGAACAATTTGTTTTCATTGTCCGATATTTAATATTCAAATAAATCACCCGTGCATCATTAAATTTCCTGATATGAACAATTGTCATAAACATATAGGAATTTTAGATAAAGTATCATTTGAATACGGGCTATGACTGACCCGCTGTTTTTACATTTAACAGTCTTTCCTGGTGTAAAAATAAACACCACCTACTGATTATGATTATTGTCTGTCAAATGAGATCTGGCATGATGTATATGCATGCACCTCGCTTAGCTGTTCAATATACAGATTTCCATCCTCAACACACATTTATTCATGAAAAAATATTAAGATCCATGATGCACTTTTTTAAAAGACAATTTTGTTCTTTTGACTTTAATGTCGATAATTATAGTAATGACTTCAAGTACGAATTACCACCTCTTTATGAGCTACGTGCTCTCTGTAAGGAATATATTCTAGTTTTGAATGATCTGTATTTTACTATTCTTGACCTTTTTCAAACCAAACTCAACTAAATGAATGTATTCTCAAAGCAACACACTCGAGATTATTTCTACGGTATGTATTCAAATTTGAAAAAAATGAAAAGAAAAAGAAAAAAAATACTATATGTTATTGTGATGATATCATAAGAGACACGGATTTTTCAAAATTATTGACGTGTTAGATAACATGAATAATTGTGCGTCGAGCTAGACAACCAAAATAAAAACCAACTCTGGATATAGTAACGTATATACATGCCGTGTACATGTTTTGCTGCGTATAAACGTGTTGATTTCTTAAAAGTTTTGTTGTAATATGCTCTCCGTTTTCTTTTTGCGTCTCTTTTAAGTATACAACACTAGTAGTAAGTAATTATAAAACCCATGGTAACTAAATATATAATGTAGTATTAAGCTTTCATAATAAGAATTATAACATTTTATTCAGTTACATTGAACTCTGGTAGGGTAATAGGTTATCAAACACATAGTAATAATTCATATTGCTCCATTAAAGAAACAAACTATTTCGAATCCATATATATGGTAATAGACCTAAACAGACCAATCTCTATGACGTTAAAACCATAATAAAAAAATTATCTTTTTGATCACTTGGATAATTCATATCCTAGTTTCCAAATTAAAGGGAGATAATCTATTGTGATATTCAGATGAGCAATTCCTTAAAAAAACTTGGTGACTGGTAGTCAGTTTGTAATGAAACATTTTAAAAAAATTAAGAAAATATTAACATTATATTACAAACTCGAATTCAATAAGACTAAGGCAAGATATAAACAAAAGTGATTTATCAATTATCACTAAACAATAAAGCAAGAAGCTTTATGGAATTTATCAACATTTATATCAGATCTTAACGTACTGAGAAAATATAATAACTATTTTATATCTTATCACACAATCTGATTACATTAAAGTCATAACACTCACTTATCACTCACATTCGTCACGTGACCGGTGTGTGACTCTTAATCTATATAGATCTCACCATTGATTTCCATTAAAATTTATTGCATCAACATTTAAGAAAAAAAATCCTCCATGTCGTATGTAATATGCCTATAACAATTTTAACACGTGTTATAGTATTAAATAATAAATTATGAATAACTCTTAAACTTGTCATCGTATTAATTGATGTATATCTATCAAGAAATGATATCTAAATATACAACAAATGTAAAAACACGAAAAAATATACCAGATTGGTTACTCATTCCATGAGAAAACTCGAATGCTTTATTAACCAAGAGATTCCAAAGTGGGGGCTGATGTGCAAAGATTTGTTCAAATACGTCAAATATGAAATAAGTGATGATGTTATATCAATACATTTCTGTGGATAAAACAATTTTTGAAATAACAATTTTAAAGTGTAAAGCAAAATTTGATCGTCCTGATACGACCTCATACCCCTTGATTCCGGTGAAATTCGACCACACTTCTGAAACCCAAACATCTTATACCCTGACAATGATTACGTAAGGTACGTATCCATTTGATGGAATACTCGGAAATATCGAGATCTTCTTACATGTATATTACACGAAAATTTTTGAAAAGATTTAAATAATGCCAAAGTTCGAAACTGTGTATAGACCTGACACTGATATGAGAAGTTAGCATATAATTGGTACATACAAATTACCCGAACATTTCAGAATTGTACGTATGACATATATAACAAATAACAACATATCGATAATTTTAAATAAAAACAAAAATAAACTCACGTTTAAGGCAAGATGAATGATTAAATATCATAGTTTAAATAATGTAGATAAAATTATCAGTGTTATTTGATATTTCAAAGGCAAGACATTAGGATATTTAGCTAAAGATGCCAAACATAATACAGTGGAATTTGTTCAGGAGAAATAATCTCGAATAAGTCTACTTATTGTCTTGTCAACTTAAACGTTTAATTTTAATAAAGTTGAATATATCTTTAAAATACTGAAAATCACTTTTATAATCGCAAGCTTTTGCCCAAGCGTTTTCAATTTGTGTAGATCAGATGTAAGTTTACTAATTATATTTATAACGCATCCAAACTGAAGCAAACATATATTTAATAGTTTGTTTATAGGTAATCTTATCATTTCGAATGCACCATTTCACTTGGAAATATGAACATGACTTTAGCTCACCATATACTGTAAAAGTTAGTCAAACTATTTGTTACAACATGGGTCAAGCAATCATTTTTAAATTTGAACGATCATGGCAAGAATATATATATAAATAAATGCTCTAATTTGGTTACGAATGAAAATCAATGTTCGGTGATTATTGACACGTTACTCTAACTGAATTACTTTGAGCAAACACAACTTTGGCTAAGCCATTTAAGCATATGAAATGCATTTGATTTCAGCCTCATCGAGCAGATTTTTTTTTTACAAGATTCACACTGTCACTACATTGGCTCTCGTTTTAATATATGTTGATAATATTTGCTATCTACAAAGTTAAGAGATATTATGCAGATTGTTTTAAGCACTCTTAGATATTGGTTCAAGCTTTCTAAAAAATATGAATTTTTATATAATCTGTCAAATTTGAATTGAAGAAAATAAATTAAAAAAGATCGGGTACCTGATTAAAATAACCAAAGGACATTTCGTGTAACAGGACACGGACACAAACACACACCCTCCCCCCCTCCCCCCCCACACCCTCACGCACACACACACACACACACACACACACACACACACACACACACACACACACACACACACACACACACACACACACACACACACACACACACACACACACACACACACACACAGACACATGTATATGTCAATAACAAAAAGAGATTAATATTGGGATCAGCATAAAAATGTAAACATCATAATCATCTGTTCATAACAATATAAGATAGTAAGGTACCGAACTTTTAATTGTCTAAATATTACGTAGTTTATAGTAAAACCCAAACTTAATGTTAGATACCATAAGTTATTGTAAGGACAAAAATACTCTATCCAATGTTAACCCTCCTATTTTACTCTGTTAATAATGACTCTGGCGAGAATGTTCCCTAGTCGTCAAATCATCACCAAAATATCAACGTGATAATAAAACCTCTGAACATCAATAGATATGAACAACATTGAAAACATGGTCAAGTTGATGTTTTACTTATCACGATATTGGGTACCGCAAAGAACTATTCATATTTCCTTTGATAGAACCCACTTTCTATCACAAATATGCATCAAAAACAAAGAGGATAATGCTAACATATCAACTTCTGTTTCATTGACGGCACCTGTCATGTAAACCTTGGTCAATCGAAGTCATTAATGTCATGCTCTCAAATGAGAACCAAGTAAAGAACAACGAAACCAACAGACAAACAAACGACCATAAAAAATGCCAACATTCATATCGCTTAATGACACCACTGTGACGACCGTAAAACTTAACTTTCATCAACCTTCTTCTTTTGAAACGAGCCAGTGTGTCAGCTGATGACTTCTTGCACGAAAATCTGATAATCCGAACAGTTCATTGGACATTGAATCAACTACAAACAAAACAGATTAGTGATTCAGGAATGTTGCTATTCAGAAATGGAAATGTAAAAATAAGGAAATTAATATTCTCACGCTCATCATATAGTTTAGTGGAAAGCTGTCCACTTTAGTATCATTGTAGGAAATTATGTAGGAATGCATTTGATATTGAAGAGATTTTCGTCTCCATGAGTCTTTGTAATATGGACGTAAAAACTAAATTTCTTGGTATTTAAAAACACGACGCCATGTGGACAGAGATATGCCGCCAAGTACCGCCACAGAGGATCAAATTAATCATTATGTACATCTGCGTAGAAACATCAAGCACCTTAGCCCAGATGATGTCAGGCTTCCGTTTTATGCGAATTCAACATATATTACACCCTTTATAGATCAGTCTTTTTGCTATTGTGTTGACTGAGATTGTAATAAATTCCTTTCTTCGCAAGGAGTTCGGAATGACTGCCAAGTTCTACTACTTCACCCTTATGTAGAATAGCGATGCGGTCCGAGTTCTGAATAGTGGAAAGACGATGAGCAATAACCAGACATGTCCGACCAGCACGTGCTTTGTCAAGTGCCTCCTGTACGACCTATGTAAAACACAACAAAGGGAATAACACGACAATTAGGATACAATATAGTTTTGCTGAAATTAATAAATTAATCAACTAAAGTGATAATTAGAATATAACAAAACTTTTTTTTACCCTTTCACTTTCTGCATCCAAGGCTGAAGTAGCTTCGTCTAGAAGCAAGATTTTTGGGTTACGTATCAAAGCTCTGGCTATGGCAACCCTTTGTTTTTGTCCTCCACTGAGTTGTGTCCCCTTGTCTCCAACATTTGTATCATAGCCCTAGATTGTAGAAAAACATAAATGCGGGACATGACTATAAGATTTATCATTATTATATATTCAGCACTATTAAGACACAATTGGAAACTCGTTAACATGAACGACATACACCTTTCACGTAATCGTAGGTAAAAAAGTATCTTAAGAGATGGATAATACCACAATTCGTATGACATATGGACAGAGAAACTCGTTTGACAATAGCAAATTGTTAAGTTGCCCACGCCCTTAGAGGAGTAGTAAAGTACAAGCAAAATAACGGTGACAGTTCAGTAAATATTGAGAGTTATCTATCTTGCGGCGTGTTCTCTTATATTGGAGTAGTTATCATCGAGTATGGTGCCAGGACGCTGCGATAGTATATAATTGTTAAGTCACTGCGATTCTTTATATATTTTTACGTTTTAAATTTTTAGTTTTGCAGCAGTATGTTTCATATTAGTAATGTTAAGATCCCGATCAATGTATGTGCAGTTTTCTTCCTGGGAAATAATTCATAACATCGCAATGCAAACACAATAATTATAGCTTTATTGGAGTTTAGATATTGTGATATGGCATGTACTTTAATATTTTCTAGAATTACGTTGCTGTAACATGGCTCTCAAGTTATATCACCATGCTGATTGTTTTGTAACAAATAAATTTATAAATTTATTATATCCATTATATGATAGATATGTCTTAAAAACTATAAACTGGTTATTTTAACTCTTTCATTATTATTAAACAAACTGGCAACTTATTTCAATTCCTCTTGTTGGCTCTGATGCTCTGAGCGATTTTTACTGATATTATTTTGCGAAATATGTGTAGAATTTCGACAAAGAATGTGTTAAAGGGGCAACACACTATTTTCTATTATCTGATGTCTCTATGTTATTAACATTGCGATGGTTATCGAAAAACGTCAAAGCGTATAAGCGTGACCTTATAACAGTGTATAGCACGTAAATTGTACAAAGAATTTCAACTTACACTTTAAAGACAAAATACTTACTAGTGGCAGACTATCAATGAAATTGTGAATGTTAGCCTTGCGCGCTGCTGTGATGATTTCGTCCATGGCTACATCTCTACTGTTGTCTCCGTAGGCTATGTTTTCTGCGATGCTGCAGTCAAACAGACATGGTTCCTGGGAAACAATTCCTATTTGTTTGCGGAACCATTTTAGATCTAGGGATTTAATATTCTTACCGTCTGCAAGCTGTGAATAAGGAAAATAAATTAAATCACAGATTTCAAGCTGCTTATCATTTTAAGAATGATAGACCAAAAGAATTGAACCCACTCTGGAAGTAAATCTAACGACGTATGCACTCATTTTCATAACATCTAACATCTATTTGTCATTGTTCTTTGTGTATTTGTGATAGAAAATCATTTAAAAGAAACTATAAATTTGAAAATGTAAATCTTATCAACGAATGCGTAATGTATGACACCGATAAATGCAGGTATGAATAAAAGCCAATTGTCAGTTATAATATCGCTATCTTTATTCAACATATCACAATAGAGACAACAAACATCTTACAATCTGCCCGCTCTCCGTGTCGTAAAACCTCTCCAACAGCTGTACCGTGGTAGATTTACCACAGCCACTAGTTCCCACCATGGCCACCGTCTCCCCTGTCTGAATAGTCAGGGACAAACCACGGAGCACTTCAATTTCCGGTCTCGAAGAATAGCGGAAGTGAACATCGTCTAGTAGTAAACTTCCTGAAAATTCCTCCTAAATATCAATAGAAGGTGTTATGTGAAAATACACAGATAAACTTATAACATTGACAATGGAGTAAGATTACATAGAGTAACAATAATGAATTTATTTACGATGTTAGAAATGCTACAACATCTTCAGAGTAAAAGTTTTTATCAAGCAACAAATATATCACGTTAACGGTAAGTATTTCATCTCGACTTTTTGTTTAAATTGATTGAATTGAAAATAAAACATCCATCATAATAAAACTCTGCTTAATTTCCAGTCAAGTCAGTATATGCGAATAATGCAGATAGCGATCACTTGTGTTTAATGAGTGAATTATTCTTTCGTGTAATATATCGGTCCCCTTTTCATTAGCTATTCCAAAATCACCATTTATTTTTCTTATTTTCCATCTAAAAAGAAAGGGACTTAAGGGGTCACTGACATTTAGACGTACACAAATACGATAACCTAAGGCAAGTTAAATGCGTGTTGTAAAAGTTTGTACTTATGTAACTCTCTACAAAAAATATAAGACTTTTTATATGATTTAGCTTCAAGCCTGCCACTGACCATGACTTCACCCTCATCACTAGCTGCATCAATCGAAGGCTTCATTTCTATCATGTTGAACAGGCGACCGGCAGCTATCTTTCCCTTATTGTAATCAGGTGTATAGGAACTTTGTCTTCCAACGGACATTCCACCGAACACGATTGCTATAAAAACCCTGTTCAAACACATATCCAACGCTGTGAATATTAAAATGAAATCAACAGCATACGACAAATAGATCTTCAGCCGTAAGTTTTAAAATATCGTTCCCGACCATCATCGACCCTCAAGCTTATCGTTAAACCATGTCTATTGATAGTTTGAAATGAAGGGAAGCAACTGTAAGATGCATAGTGTGTTAATGGTGAACCTACTAGAACTGATGGTAATGCTGTAGAACATCGTGTCTTCCTTTTATAGAAATGCAGTTCTAAAAGACATAACTGATTGGAAAATTCATTGTGACAAGTGTCAATAATATCCAATTAACAGTTTAGACATTTAGAATGAAATACGCAAATGCCAAGTTAGTCTAATTGAAATTATAAGATTTGCTTTCATCTATCATCCGATAATTGTTTTACAGCCGCACTTACTTAAACACATTTTGAAATGGCAGATCTTCGTACTGTACAAGATAACCACCGTAGGCGAAGGCGGCAGCATAGGCAAAGAACATGAAGGCTAGAGATAACCCAGACATTACACCATTTAGGAAACTACGCCTCTTACCATTTCTGAAATATAATTAAAACAATAGGAAAATACCAATAAGTCAACAATATCTAAAATCGAACTCGAATTCAATGAATCTGGAACAAAATACGAACAAAAGAACGATTTACACGGAGACTCCTGAAAAATAAGAAAAAAAAAGATAAGAAAGATAAGACAAAATTAAAAAATCATATGCGCAATGCGTAATTTGTAATAACGAAAGTCTCTGTAAAAGAGCCCGGACTAAAGCTCTTTTTATATTGAATTGATTAAACGGGGTAATTTTCTTCTCTAGGCCTTCCAAAATTTCTCTTCATCGTCAGGAACTATAAAGTCAAACGTAATGAAACTTCCCGTCAGAGAGTGAATCCATTTTCCGTTCGCTAAGAAATAGATCTCGTTTGATGGCAAGTGTTATTTCGATACAGGCAGCATACATACGTGTAAAGGACATCCAGAAACCCAGTGTACTTTTCAATAAAAGACTGCTCTCTGGTAAGGGAAGCGACTGTGCGTATATTATTGATGACCTCGCTAGTCAACTGTAAAACAAATCCGTGGTATTGATAAATGAATAGTAAAACCTACCAGTGTGTTTGAGGAGCAATAAGAATAATTTCGAGTTGAACATCACTTGAAATCATGTTTTACAGACAGGCAGATAACACAGAAGACGAAATGTTTTCATGCGATACACTCTCAAAGGCGATTCAGTTGCCGAAAATCTTTGCTTGGGCGACCATATCTTACTCAAAATACAATTATTTCTGATATAGTCTACAGGGACAGCAACAGAGACAGGGGTCATTTCAAAATACACTGTTATATATAAATATACGGTACTAGGTTTCATGTAATCATATGTTCAAAATGTTCAAATCCGCATCAGACAACTTGTTTTCATTGAATGATAATAATGATTAATTAAATCGAGTATTTCTTTCTCGGTTTTGTAGACTAAAAAACAGGTAAAAAGAGTAAAAATTCATTTTCTTTCTGTTTCAGCTTTAAGTATCTCCCTTTATTCTGTGTAAGATGAAAGTATGTAATCCAATTGTCTTCACCACTGTAATGCCACTTTGGCAATAAATTTGCAATAATTTTGGTAGTTCTTCAATATAATGTCGCGAGAGAATAATGAGATGCATAATGTGAGAAGTGAGTAGGCAAACATGAAGTGTTAAGATATATGTAAAGAGGTATCAACGCATAGGACTTAACCAGCAGCTAAGAATTCTAGTAGACTGCGTAATTATAGCAAGTAGGATATTTCCAATGAGGTATCAATTTGTTACCCGTGACCATTGTCAACCAACTGCATCAGACATCAAACAAAACATTCAATGGAAATGAGGATGAAAATTTATAAATTGAACAAATTGCGTTGTGCTAGTAATTTTACAATTTTAAGTCATTCAAACATTTTGGTTCGTTGCCAGGATCATTGAAGGTCACACGTGATAGTTTTCCCCTCCAAAACCAAAATAACTGCAGTATTTTATAAATCAATTTTATTTCGTCGTGGCAAACTCTCTCTTCTAACCCTATGCTATCCGTAGACTCTCTGCAATTTACCCAAGAGCAGTGACATATTTCCAATGCAAACGCTAGGTTTTACTCTAAGCGCAGGATTGTAATCTGGGAATGAGCTGCTGGGAAGTATATATCCTTGAGATTATGCCTTGAAGTTAGGAAATCGGAAAATATGTCTAAAAGGTACAGTCTATATATTTTAACATTGATCTGACGCCCGCTTTATTTACTAGGTACATACGCTAGTAAATGTGAAATTTATGGAAAACCGAGTGCTTTATTTGAAATGAAGATTGTTGAATTATGCAAAGCCTTAAATATTGTTAAAACAGGTCATTGCCTTCAAAATGCATTTGAGTGATATAACCTACTTACCTTTCCTGCTTCTTCAGTGACAGATTTATCTCCCTTAGAGAAGCCAGTCAGCTTTTTACTATGTATAACACCAGCTACCACCATCAAGGGCATGAAAGCAAAGATAACAAGAGTCAACTTCCAGCTGTGTATGAAAGCAATGATGACAGCGACAGAAACAGTTGATAGAGACTCTAGAACTGCTCCCACCTTGTTACCGGCTGCCTGTGGATAGATATGGCAAAGAATTTGTAATTTCTGAACAGTTGCATGGTTCAGCATATACGAACAATCTAGTCATTCTACTGAAATTTTAATATATATGCAAATTACAAAATTGATTTCACTATTTGGATAAATTTTAGCTCTTCTTTCGATCACTTTAAATTTTCGAATTGTTTTGAAAATTTTATTCCTAGGTTCTAAATTTCGACCTCTAGCATCACTGATCCAGAAGAGTTTGAATATGCTAGTTTCAGGTTCCAAATTGAGGCCTTTAGTATTCTTGACGAGTTCAAGAAGGACGAAAGAGCTGTATAATGCTGTTCTTTAGCTCTACTGCACCTAACTTTATTTGTGCTTAAGTGTGTTATTTACTTGTGTGCCGTTCGTACAATCTGTTTGTTTTCTTTTTATTTCAATGATAGCTATATGCAATTGATGAACAAGTTATATAGGAAATTCATTATATGAACAATGTTCACCATGTATGACTTTTATATTTTGCTGAGCAATTCGATAATGAATCAAATACTTAACATTAATTTCCATCTCTAAGCCGTCACGAGGTACATAAACCACGCACTAATAATCTTTATTTGAATAAACACATACCCCTTGTACTAAGCTGCTATCAAGCGCCAGCCTTGTCGTTAGAACTCCAACTCGGTTTTTAGGGTCGTCAAAGAATGGGATATCCTATCAAAATACAATTATTACCCTATATGTATAGAAATAATAGCAAAGAAACCATTAAAATATGTTAATAGCACGGCATAAACAGGGTATAGATACAACTATTATTTTGCAGCTGTTCGCAAATTTAGGCAATAATTTCGCCAGCAATTAATGGAGTGAATAATTGATGATAAAATTTACATAAATAATATTACAAAGTCATAAGTATCTATCTGGTACATTATGGTGCAAACAAGTATATCAACCCATTTCAAAAATCGCTTACCTGCCATATCAATGATCTAAAAGCAAGCCTCCTGAAACGTGCAGTTAACTTCGCACCAGCTGTTGAGTAACATATACTCTGTAGAGAGACAGAAACCGCATGACAATGACACACAGAATAAATATGACATCCATGGTTACAACTAAGTGTTGTCATAAAAATACTTTCATTGATGAAATTCAACAAACAAAAAGTCTCTGGCGAAATATTATGCTCTTGCGAATGTTTTTGTAATTTGATCAATAAAAAGCAGTTATTGCTTGTTATAAAAAATTCACTATATCATATCCGACATCTGGCCTCGAGGGTAGTTTGCTTTGTTGTATGAAAATTATATTGTTTTCTTACCATCAACAGGCGAATAACACCGTTGCCGACTGCAACGCAAACTACCATGCCAACCAGAAAGTTTGCCTTGTTTGTCTGTTCCTCCTTGTCAGCCATTGTAAACACCTGAAATTAAGTGTAATAGAAATATAGTCTAAAACTGCAATGTACGTACGACAGAATCTAAAGAGAAAATTGAACAGGGCAATGGCAATATTGTACGAAAGGCACACAAGTGAATAGCAACTTTTTATACAAATTGAGAGTAAGATACAGTAAAGTCGAATAATGAATTAAACTGTACCATACAGCTGTTTCGTCCTTCTTGGAGACGTCAGTGATGTTAAAAGACTATATAATCAGGAGATTGAGGAACACCCAAAGTGATCGAAAAATGTCAATATATGAATGGGGAGGTGAACAAGACCCATAATTAGATTAAAATAGCATTTGTTATATGTCTGATAACTTACATATTCTGAACCGGGGCATTATATAAATGAATCGAACGTGGAAAAATATTAGGAGAGTTTGTTTTAACAAAGCCATGACCATGCCTGAGTGTTCGAATTGAGAACATTTAAGTTGTACTAAAGACAAAGAAGTTCATATTTCTTCCCGATACAAATTGAGAATTAGATATGCTATAGATAAATAATGAAACTAAACTGCATCCTTCAGATGTTTCGTTCCTCTGGGGCTAGCCAGTGATGTTAATGATATAGATTGCTGAAATCTAGGAGTTGACGTACGGAAATTAAAGAAACAGTTTGTACTTACTTTGAGAAATTCTGCAAATATAATGGCAAAAACAGGCTGTGTACTTCCGGCAAGTACAGAACACATACAAGCACCTAGAATGTAGTACCATTCTGGAGAGTTCATTCGCAGTACTTTTATCACGGACACATCTGTAACATTATCGTCTTCATTCTCCCCTTCATCTTCATTCTGAATACATAGATATATCTTTAAACGCATCAACCTATAAACGGTTTAGCTTATTAATCGTGAATTTACGTTTTTCAATAGATAAGTACCTGATTCCACGTCTTTGATTGAATTTTGAAAGTAATTTTCAAGTATTTGTTTGGATATGTCATGATGTGGCCATCTGAATGTACAGGGGATTATTAGAATATCGAATATTAGAATACAGTTGCACCTAAATTAACCAATGTATTTGGCATTTACAATGTGTCCGATTAGCCTGTAGATTTTATGAATTGCCGAATTACGAAGTTTGATAAATAACCTATGGATATTCTTTGAAAAAAAAAAGTAGAAATATAAACAATGACGCTAATTTATGACATATTATTCAATATTTAATGAACACCATAAATTTTAACAATAGGTTGCAAATATGTATCTCGTTACGAAACATTTTGTTTTCATTTAAATGCGAAAATATCAACCAATGGATTCACCACATGACATCTGTCATGACTACAAATGTGTCTCTTATTGTTTGTTTACTAACGTATTTCATATATAGTTGTCGTTTTAAAAAGGCTAAGAACAGTACGTAATGATGAGGACCTTAGTATGAAACCGGTAAGGCATTATTCTAATCAAAATTGGCAGAGTAGCAGATAACTTCGCTTATTTGGTCAAATTTGGAGAGTTGATAATTTCTATATAAGAAATTAAATATTTCAAGCGGATTATGATACAGTTGTATCAATAATATTTATCGAATATATGAAGGATTCCGTCGCCATAGTACTGTATCACTAACACATGCATTTCTTAATGATATTAAAGCATAAGTATTGACATTGTGTACCTTTTCCTCATCTTTCCTTTTACTTATAGTCGATGTTGGCCTTTCGTCATTACTGGACTGTATGGTGTTGTAATGTGGCTTAATGTTGTTGATGGAAGGCAATTTTACTTCATCATCTCCATCGAACAATTCATGTTCAAGTTCATCAGCCACTGAAGTTAGAGAAATTCGTCCGTTAGTCAACACAAATCAATCAGTTTATATAGTCATGATTAAAAAGTTTTGTGTACAAAAAAAAATCTAGTAACAAACAAGGTTAAAATAACAATAACCAGATACATGAAAATGATGAAATTTATTATGTAATGGGACAAGTGAAAGTCCCTATCTACAGTTTGACTTTTTTCTCGATCACTTTGGAGTTTCTTCAGTCGCAACCTTAGTTTATCCTTTAGACCCTTAGCATAAGTGACGAGTCCTAAAAGGACAAAATAGTTGTATGATTGAATTTAATTCATTGTTTGGTTATACTATATTCAAATCTAAATTTGTATCAAAATGTATTATTCACTTGTGTTTCTACCACATTAGACAGCAATGTTCACACTTCCGGTGAGACTAAGATCTCTCGTTCTATGTTGCCGCTAGTAAACCTGTAGCACATCGACTTACTTTGGATATCAAGGAAATAAAACAAAGAAAACATCACCAAGTGAAAAAAAAATACTTCAATGTTAAAAGAAATTAGAACAACACATTAAAAAAGAGTTACAATGCAAATCCTGAAATAGGGCAAGCACTTTAAGTCCAGGTGTTTCGGCATACTAAGCGTTTGTATACATTACATCTACCATAGAAATATGAATGATCGCAACAAGGGTAACAAGAAAGGTACCAATGTGAAGCCGTTAACATGGCTTTTGATTTGTAAAGTATACTGAATATCTTCCAATACACAGACAATAAAGAGCAAGTTAGTACACAACTCATTGTAACAGTGAGCTTAAACTATATGTAATCAATCAACGGATATATATGAAATTACCTTCTTCATTTGTATCCATTTGATGACTCTGAAACGAATAGAATAGAAGTGCTGCACAGTTTGTTTGTGTAGAGGACGTAATTTTCAATAGTTTTCTCGGATATAATGAAATCTTTGAACATATCAAAATTATATTTACTTAAACATTTCGGTACATTTTGTTGCACATTATAGAAGAAAAAATGTATCTTACAATTGAGTTCATCTTGTGGGCTCTTTTTTAATTATATATCAAGCTGTCTTTAGTTAGAAACAAGATCTGGTGTTACTCTAGTATAAACAAAGAGTAATATGTTTTACTCCTTCTCTCATACCTGCTGATATACAAGTTGACTATAAAGCCCATCCTCTTGCATCAACTCAGAGTGTGTGCCCTGTTCCACCACTTGTCCCCCCTGAATGCCATAAATGATATCTGCATTACGGATGGTGGACAGACGATGAGCTATTACAATTGTCGTCCTTCCCTCCTGAGCCTTTTCCAGGGCTGCCTGTACAACGGACTCGCTTTCGTTATCCAGAGCCGATGTAGCCTCGTCCAGCAATAGAATCTTAGGATTCCTGACCAGAGCCCGGGCAATGGCTATCCTTTGTTTCTGTCCTCCACTCATCTGGGCACCTCTTTCTCCCACTAATGTATCGTATCCCTGATGTAATGGTAACACAATTGCATTATCAGATTTAAATACCATTATCTTTTTCATGAAATGTTATTTACCAGAAACAGCCAACAGAACGATATATAAATATTGTAACTTGTGATTACTACTTTATATACAGGTAGTTCACATTTCATGTAAGTGAAACTTCAATGAAAACAAAGACCAAATGTGGACATTGTACCTGATTTACGACATTGTTTCATCGATGATAGCAAAGCAATTGTCCTTAACCCATATCAACTGATTGTACAGAAAACACACAAGTGAATAGCATATTGTGATTCAAATATATAACTTCAAATTCAGAGTTAGAGTAGCGCAACGCAATGAATAAAACTGCATCAAACATCAGTTTTGTCCATTTGGTAATCGTCTGTGATTCCAGGGCAAAACATTTTGAAGCCTAGGAGGCGACTGTCGAAAATCCAAACTGATCAAAAGAAATGTTAAAATCTAGATGGAAAGGTGCATTAATCCCATAATTCAGTAAATTCCATAATTTTCGTGTGTTTTATATTTTCCAAGCAAACAAGCAAACAAGCAAACAGTTAACGGCAACCCTCGGAGACTTACAGTCTACCAGCAGTGTCTACCATCTGCAATATCGCATGAGGCATTATAAAAACCATGTTTGTCTAATTAAGAATCACTGTACAATATTCGTTCGTTAATTATTTACCAAAGTAGCATTTTAGGTTTCAAAATTTAGGCCCTTAACATCACTGATGAGTCCTAGATGGACGAAACAGCTATATGTTGCAGTTGCTTTCATTGTTTGACTCTGCCATATCTAATTCTAAATTTGTATTGAAAGGTTCTATTCACTTATGTGTCTTTTGTACTATCACTGATGTATTGTGTACGTCCGTCTCATTATTGATGAGAGGTGAAATGCATTCAAGTTTCCGACCTTCATATGCCAGATCACTTATCTCATAATCATAATCAACACAGTTTATTCATTAATTCCAATAAAATGCCTTGTTTGTGACTTCGGTCTTACGTCTGGAAACTGGGATATAAAATCGTGTGCATTAGCTTCCCGAGCGGCTGCTATGATCTCGTCCATTGTAACATCGAGACGTCCGTATCGGATATTTTCAGCAACTGTGGTGGCGAATAACACCGGCTCCTGACTGACCACACCTATTTGTCTCCGTAACCAGTTCACGTTTATCGTGCTGATTTCACAACCATCCAACAACACCTGTAGTTACATCATTAAAGACAAAGTGTATAAATTACCACCAAAGGAGAAACTAAAATACAAAACCATCCAAAGATATCATTATTATAATCTGAAATAATCGATAACTTCATGTTTTAAAAGAAATAGGTTAATTTCTAACGAATGAGAGGAAGTATTATTTGCCATACCAAGATGAGAAGAAATGTTCTTTAGGTCGTGGTCTGGACTGACGATACCACAACATAGTACGAAGATTTAACGAGCGAATAATAACAATATTTTCGCTAATTATGTTACTTACCTGACCGGCCGGGGGGTCGTAGAATCTCTGTAGTAACTGTACCACCGTACTTTTCCCGCATCCACTGGATCCAACTAGTGCCACTGTTTGACCAACACGGACCTTTAAACTCATTCCCCGCAGCACCTGTAATATTTACATATTGTACCAAAAGTATTTTCAGCAATTATTGACTAATTGTAATATTGATATATTACCCACCATTATGGAAGATGAATGATGGACCTGACCTAATTAGCAGAGGCCATTTTCCAACAAATTTTATATAAAAGATATTAAACAACTTTGCATAAAACGAGATTTATCTCACCATTGCATCGGGGCGAGCAGGGTACTCAAATTCGACATCCTTGAACTCAATGTTTCCCTCAAACTTATCAGGCATCTTGCCTTCTGTAGAACTTGGGTCGATCTTCGAGGTGAGTTCAATGATCTCAAAGACTTTTTGTGCAGCTCCTCGAGCGTTCCCAAGAATCTCCACAGTGGGTAGTGCATTTCCCAACGACATTGATCCGACCATCACTCCAATGAACACCTACAAAAAGAACATTAAATTCTACATAAAATTTGTTTCAAACAAATATCCTTATATCAAAAAGCAATAAAATCAGAAATAAATTTAAGATAAATAAGAAGACCAAATGCATCTATATAAATATACTCTGACTTTACCGTGAGTGTGCTTCCTGGATCAAACCCTTCTTCCTGATCTTGTATAAGTTTAACACCGTACCAAAAGGCGACAGCAAATGCTCCATACAGCAATAACCAGACCACACTGTTGCTAAGTCCCACTAGGATACCCTTCTTCACTGAGTTAGACTTGGCATGATGTAAGTGACTGTTATACCTGTGCATTCAAGGACGGTAATTGAATATGAGGGAGATATGTGGTGTAATGAATAATTCAGATATACGCAGGAAAGAGACATCATATGTGAAAATTTACCATTAATACGAATAATCCTCATGACCAGTTGATTGCTAAACGAATATAACATAAATATCGAGTTGATTGCTTTCAAACAGTATTCTAAGAAAGATGTACCAAACAGTCCAAGCATTGCATCACTCACATAATGCAGTCTTAAATTCGTATATAATTGACTCGAATATTGTAATGATGACCGTTTCGTACACTCGTTTATAATTGTCTCGGATATTGTAATGATAAGTGTTTCGTACACTCGCAAATACTTTTCACGGATATTGTAATGGTGTCCGTTTCTTACCTAGCACACTCTTTGTTTTGTCCGTTGAAGGCCATAACTGTTCTAATAGCACCAAGGGCTTCTTCAGCAATTGAACCTGCCTTTGAATACGCTTGAGATTCTTCCTTTGCTAAGTTTCGCATAAACTGTTAAACAGATAATCGCATTTATACCAATTACCCCTCCGTTATCATGTATTGCTGTTCTGATATGAGTCACCATGAAAAAATGTAGTCAATAAAGGAAAATCTTTGCTAATTACGTCATTGAAACTGATGTCAAATAACATATGTATCCGCTTTGACAATCACATACATTGATGGAAGTAGATTTAATGTTTATTAATAAATGAAAGAAGATGAACACAACTCATTAAAGAAAAAAGGAGGAATGCATAGGAATCTTAGTTTGCACTCGGCAAATGCCTATTTGGAAATATAGGTGCAAAATATTAGTTAATTATTTCGCATCTTGGGTATCAATGAAGATAAATATAAACAACTTTATGCACATAATCAAAGTACTCTCATCACATACACATCTCTGCCAGATGTGTCTCCATACAATAACAAAACTTACCCTTACTAAGGTCGCTCCAACCAGAATTATGACCGGACAGAACCCAACCACTGAAAGAGTTAGTTTCCAACCGATCACAAAGGCAATTACATATGCAGCAATAAATGTACTGAACCATTGTAGCATTGTGGCAAACTTATCTCCGATTCCGTCTGCTATCAAATGTACGTCCCTAGAACAGGCAATATAAAAACATAAAATACCGGACCTGTTCTTCATGTGGTGACTGATTTTCGCTTTGTCTGAGAATGCACAGCGAATATCGAACTGGCGAATTTTAGCTTCAAAAAAAGTAATGGTATTATTCTTAATTTCTCCTTTTGATAATTGAATAAGGCATTCTTATTTTTGTACCAAATGACGAAACTTGTGCGTGGCGCAATAAACAAATTATCAGGCAAATATTTGCTCATCTCGTCCATATATACCTATATACCATATAGCCGAATACTTAAATAAATTACACCGTACCTCTGTCTGGACCCTCTAAAACTATTCAACGATGATGAAATTCGAAAGTGTTAATCGTAACACAATGAAATATCAAGTGCTCTTCCCATGAACACTTTATACCTACTCTGCGATCCTCGAATTCAATTCCCCGCCTTCATGAGTGTCAAACCAGCTGATTTCTTGTCTGAGAATGGACTGGAAGAACTTTTGTCGAATTCTATGGATCTGATGTTCTGCAGAAATACTGAAGCACGCTACTGCCAAGAAGATACAGACGAAAACTACCACGGCAAGCACACAGAACCAGATGATTTCATCCTTCATCATTTGAAAAATATGCTCGTACTTTTTCAGTTCACTGAATGACATCCCATTTGTCGTGGTAAAGTTGTCAGGCGGGAATGTCCCGTTCATATTTGACCTACAGAGAATTTGATACAGAAGTGATATTGTGATGTAATTACTGGACATAAGTTTTCAAATATGTCATTAATTACTTGTGTATGCATTTCATATATAGTAGGCTCTCTAATTAAAGGAAAACATATCAGTACCACTCACTCAGACTATATATCTTTATCTCGTTATTACGAGTTACATTATCTCGTGATATCGTTATGACGAGTTACATTATCTCGTTATCACGAGTTACGTTATCTCGTTACTACGATTTACATTATCTCGTTATCACGAGTTACACTATCTCGTTATCACGAGTTACACGAGTTACATTATCTCGTTATCACGAGTTACGTTATCTCGTTATTACGAGTTACGTTTTCTCGTTGAGAGTCACAAATAAATAGTATTTTTTAATAAAAATCTAGAACAAGATACAGTAGTGCATGAACTAAATAATTAAATGAAAATAAGTGAATAAAGATTAATTTAACCGTATCATTCATTCAAGGCCTCGTCAGTGATATTAAGGGCACCATTTGAAAGCCAGCAAGTAACCAAGGACAAACAAAATTGATGGAAAGAAAATATAGATTAGGAGGTTCCCATAATTCAATAAATTTCGTAATTTGTATAAATCAGAAAATAGTCAGGTATATGTGTATTTTCTGAACAGAGCCACTATTCAAGTCAATCAAAAGGCGTTGCATGTAGGTTATGGCAAACCTCGGGGACAAGAAGTCCACTGGCAGTGTCTATCACCTTATGTTATCTCGATATCACTTCTTCTCGTTACTACCGACAAAGGTAAAAACCTAGATGTGCAACAAAGATTAGAACAATACTTACACCACAGATTTGAATACTTCGTTTAAGATCAATGCGTTGGCCACTCTTCCATATATGAACATGTTTAAGGGAAAGCAACATCCTGCCAGTGCAGCACATACTGCTCCGATACATAACAGCACCTTGTCCATACATGATGAGTATCGAAACTGAAGAAGATTTTAGAAATCCATAAAAAAAATAATAGAAAGAATTGTTGACCCTCTTGGAGGTGGGATAGTTTTTTTTTTCAATCCGAGAGGAAAGCTTATTTAGTTAGCAAACATGAGCTTTGCTTAATCCTAGCGTTAGGCAAGGAAATTCCACATCGATAAAAACGTGGATTTACCTGTCCAGAGTAAGAGAAATATTAAATGTCAAAATTTATCCATTCTTAGTGAAACTCATTATGGAGGTATGAACATGCATTAATATTTTTTTAATTGCCAAAATTAATGGATCAAGATATACACTTGTAATTTCAGAAATCGTGTCTCCCACCTTTTCTAGAACTCAGAATATGTTACATATGTATGCATTACAAATGCCTCGACAAATCATATCTATATGAGTGATATCATTTAGAACTGTAGAAATATATGGGAGAAAATATGGAGTTTTTGGTCATAAAATCTTTATGTCTGTTATTGAACTTATAGTCTAATTTACCAGCCCAAAAATGCCGATCTTCTTTTCATCGCTTGTATCTGTTTCGTTTTTGCTTTTCTCTTCATTCTTAAACTTTACATCAGGAACATCGGAAATGTGATCTGTAGTAGGATGTTTTTTCTCATGGTCAGCATTTTCTGTCTCGTCATGTCCATTTACAATGTATTTTCCGTGTGAATCACCATTGAGAGCAACATTTCCTTCTCCTTTGACCCCGTTCACACTGAATGTTGATCGGTTCCTCGTCATGACTTTATTTTTGTGTAGATAAGTGTCTAAGGTGGCAGTTTGTATAGGAACGCAACTAGAAATATTCCTTATCTATTCTCGTAAAACCATTCACATTTGAAAAACGTACTCCCCCATTCATGTAGGCGTTGTTACACTGAAAGAAAAACAAAGATGATGACATTTCACGAATTTTATTTCACAACCTCATTAACTATATGTATGAGACGTTGATACTTTGTCCATTATTTCAGATGACAAAAAAAGCATTTGATTGATATAGCCCGATTTTTATATGTCTTGTAAATGACGTCAGTCAACCAGTATGAACCCGATATGTCATTCAAGCTTGCGTCAGGAATGACATCATGACACGATACTTTTTAATGGTTTATACAATCTTCGAAAGCGTATCTGAATTTCACTGGAGTCATAAATCCCAAATAACCCTGTTGATTAGAAATTCCTCTATCATTCCTCTATTGAGAATGTCCTATCTAATATTCCTCTATTGAGAATGTCCTTTCTTATATTCCTCTATTGAGAATGTCCTATCTAATATTCCTCTATTGAGAATGTCCTATTCTATATTTTTTATTTAGAATGTCCTATCTTATATTTCTCTATTGAGGACGTCCCATCTACGTTTTATCCTCAAAACAAATTTTACTGCTATTTGTAAAGGCAAAATGGAGATTGATCCACCTAGCTACAGACTTACATTCTGTCACACCATTATGTTGTAAAATGCTTGAAAAATAGTGATTTAATATTCTTGAATTATCTGTCAGAATATGCTACAATTTCTTTAAGACCAATTAAGATTTCTCCGCTATGTAAAATATCTATATATCAACTGGAAGTGGATAAAATTTACGATCAGGTGAAACAATGACATATTATGAACAAAAGAAAAATTCTTTAGGTTCTTTATTAATCAAGTACACGAGAATAAGATCTACAGTGTTGATACTGACAAGTGGACAGAATCTTAATCAATGATGACAATCGATGACACAAAGGCAACATTTTACAAAGGAAATATTTACGCAGACATTTTGTCAGACTACACTAGTGAAATGGCATTTTCATCTGTTCTAGGCACCTTAAGTTTAATATGTGATCTTATCGATGTATTTATTACCTAAATATTAAAGACACAAATCTACAATAAGCTACGCGTAAAACAACTGGAGAAATTTCACTGCATTTATTTGACTAGAGAATCTACTTACAATCAACACAAAGTATGTAAGTTTCGCAGTAATATAAAACATGCAGAAGTCAGCAAGTTAATATAGAATACTAATCTATCTGGTTCGAACGTATCGCAACTGAACACAAACATTTACATATATTATGCAACGATAGAGCGATATTTACACACGTCAGTCGCTAAAAGGTAACCTTATTGTACTTAAATGCATTATAAAGTCTGGTATACTGATGTACAGCATATTGAAGACACACATACCTGTGTTCCATCGCTCCCTGATTTGTTTACGAAATGTTCAGTTGTTGGTGAAAGGCGTACTGTAAACCTTACTCTGAGACACACGTACAGTTAAATACCAAGACAGTTAGAATAATGCACCTGTTTCCTAGTTTACAGCCTAGATAAAACCCTGGCCGAGAATGAAGTAAGCGCCCAACAATGATGCGCGTGGTTAGTCACCCGGAAACATTTTAAACTGCGGGTTAAAAGATAGGGCGAAATGTGTGATAATAATATATACATTGTAAGCACACACGCGAAATATCAGGATGGAAAGTAATGAAAAGTTTACTGCAGAATAAGTGCTTTACCAGTGATGAAGTAAGTGATCAGACAAAGACTGCTTTATGAAATGAAAAACGTAATCAGCTCAGTACCACTATATTGTTAATGAAATACGTACTCAGCTGAGTACCACTACATTGGTAATGAAGCACGTAATCAGCTCAGTGCACTATATTTGTAATGAAGTACGTACTCAGCTGAGTACCACTATATTGGTAATGAAGTACGTACTCAGCTGAGTACCACTATATTGGTAATGAAGTACGTAATCAGCTCAGTACCACTATATTGTTAATGAAGTACGTAATCAGCTCAGTACCACTATATTGGTAATGAAGCACGTAATCAGCTCAGTACCACTATATTGTTAATGAAGCACGTAATCAGCTCAGTACCACTATATTGGTAATGAAGCACGTAATCAGCTCAGTACCACTATATTGGTAATGAAGTACGTAATCAGCTCAGTACCACTATATTGGTAATGAAGTACGTAATCAGCTCAGTACCACTATATTGGTAATGAAGTACGTAATCAGCTCAGTACCACTATATTGTTAATGAAGTACGTAATCAGCTCAGTACCACTATATTGGTAATGAAGTACGTAATCAGCTCAGTACCACTATATTGGTAATGAAGTACGTAAACAGCTCAGTACCACTATATTGGTAATGAAGCACGTAAACAGCTCAGTACCACTATATTGGTAATGAAGTACGTAATCAGCTCAGTACCACTATATTGGTAATGAAGTACGTAATCAGCTCAGTACCACTATATTGTTAATGAAGTACGTAATCAGCTCAGTACCACTATATTGGTAATGAAGTACGTAATCAGCTCAGAACACTACTGTATTGGTTATGAAGTACGTAAACATCTCAGTACTGAAAATACTGAAATGTTAACAAAATGATACTTCAAATACAAGCTCGTTTTAACTATTGCAAAATATGAACAGAAGAAAGATTTACTCGAAGACGCCCGAAAAAAAGGACAAGGAGAATAAGACCATGTGTTCTGGAAGAGTAAGCGTCTTTTGCTTCATCGACCACATCCGCCATATAAACCTTGGTCAAATCATTTAGTAATGTCACGTTCTCAAATGAGTAAAACGTATACAACAACGTAACCAACAGGTATGCTAAAAAGCATCCTACACGTCCATCATCATGTTGTATATTCGTAAACAGAATATATCTCGATAAAATCAATATGGCAACCATAAAACTTCCTCGTTATCTTCAGTAATCTACATATCTCATAGCCATGTGTTGTGAGTTTGTCTGTTTCAGTAACCGTGATACTGGAAACAAGTCCTTTGATATTGAACAGCGACATACACAAATGCCAGAAGTATAGGATGTTGCTTTCCAGAAGTGGAACGTTTGTTATAGGAAACTGAAAAAATCACATATATTATACAATTTGGTAGAAAACTGTCTTTGTAGTTTTATAATTTTAGTTTTAATAGTTTTTATGGGAAAAGATCGAGATAAACGGCTGATATAGAAGAGATTGTCGCGTCGAATTTGGGTATATAAGAATAATGAAGTATATATTTGACAGACAGCTACGTTTTTGTTAAGAAAGTATCGATAATATATTTCTTCAATATAGCACTCTAATTATAAAATACATATCATATTAAATGTACCCCGCATATCCGTTGACAGCGACAAACTTCTAGATAATGACATGTGAATTCCACGAATGCTAGATTCACATTAAAACTGATAAGAACTGCTGCACCAATGTATCAGTTACCCAGTAGCTTATATTATTTTAGTTATATAAAATGAAGAAATGAAAAATGAATGAAATATAAATTTATACATATGGGCGTTTTTAAAAGTATTCAATTTGATTGTTTTACATGGTTAAACGTTTTTGCAGCAGCCAGACCGGGTGTCGAGCAGATGCTGCAACATACCGAAGTAGTACGACACGCAAGGTTTTCCTTTTAAATGTACTTACTTAAGATATCTAATTCATTATGTGCATGTAAAACCGTAAAAAAAAGGTTAAAGGTCATGATCTAGGTTGTCCTGGAACACGTGCCACAACATGGCCAAGCTATCTGGTAAAACTGATGTGGGGAAATATTAAATAGTATTAGTGCTGTTTGATTACATAAAAAAAACCACCATATACCATTTTCCTGACTGTGTAGGTATACATCACATTCATCACATCCGTTTTTAACATTTCAAACGATTTCTCCTGGTTTGCCGACAGAAGCAAGTAAAATTATTTCTGCAGACACGATTTTGCACGTCAGACTCATTGAGGACTGTAAGCTATTAAGATACTTCTGTTGTCAGATTTAGTATTTAATCAGAACCAGAAACCCTTCTGGTATATATGTAACTCACCAAGACCAGTAACTCATTTGGGTATATGAAAAAAAAACCTGGATCGGTAACTCATCTGAGTATAAAACTCACTAAAGATGGTAACTTATACGGGTATATTACTCACCAGAACTGGTAACTCATCCGAGACTATAGCTCGCCACGACCATTAACTCATTCGGATAAATAACTCAATAGTCCCGGCATCTCAACCAGATTTTGCACAAGACAAGTAAATCTGTGAGGCTGATTACTTGCCAAAATTAGATACTCTGCTATAACCAGTCCTTCTTCGTTTGCGATTTTGCTGTCGTCCTACCGGATGTCATAGAAATGTTATCTCTGTCAGTAATGCATCACCATAACAAAACACTATAGTGCCAGGTGCATTTCAGGGCAGGTAACACTCGGGTGAAAACCTACTGATAAAATCCAGTTACCTATGAATATTTACAACTTACAAAAGATCGATAACTCTTCATAAACTCATCAGTTCACGTAGCTCACCGGTATCGCTTATTGGTCAAACATGTAACTCGTTGTGGCTAGTGACTCGCTATTCGCAGTAACTCTTACCATTTGGCAGGTTGTATCCCATATGACGAGAAACAGTAAAGTAAGTTAACCTACAGTGTTGTATAAATTATATACCAGTGTACCCGTAGTGAAACGTTTGTAAAGAACTAGGTCACAGCAATATATTTAGTTATTTAAAGGACAGGTTAAAAACTCGGTACACCGAGATAAGAAATTCGGCTAATATACACACGTGTAGTGTAAGTTCATAAACTGGGTAAGTGATACATTGATGCAGCAGCTCTTATCATAATGAGTATTTAGCTTTTGAGGAATTCATATGTCAGTATCTAGAACGTTGTGTCAAC